GAGCTTAATTTAGCTGAAAATCCATCTGTTTCAAATCACGTTATGTCTCTGCTCAGCCGCAGCCCGCTGTCCCTCACGGGGTGAAAATACCAGCTTGTGTTTTACCTCCAAGGCCAAACAAGTTCCCAGACTCCGAGTGGCTTCAGAATATCTCAAACTAAAGTTTAGTGTAGAGTAAATGTTTAAATAATGTTTTATGGCCCATTTATATCAACTGTTATAAGATAAAAGTATAAGAAAGCACAGCTGTTCACATTTTATTATGTCACATGAGTAGATATTGACCCAAACTTCATGATAGGACATTTTATTATAATTTTTGTTGATTTGGTCTTTTAAACTAGCTGACGTGTATAAACGTTGGATGGATCCCAGTCTTCTCCAGTTTTTGTGAAGAATAAACATAAACGTGGATTCTTGTAAGGTTTGTAGCCTGTTTCTGCTCCTCACTGACTGATGGTCCTGTTTGAGGGGCACCAGAGAGAAGTGCAGTCTCACAGCTGTCTGGAGACCTGCAGAGAAACAGAAAAGTTCCTCTGGCTACAGAAATGCAGTCAAGATTTATTGCTCTCACTCACACACATGCACACATCAGCAGCGTTTGGTATTTAGGAGAAGAGCAGAGAAATGAGCAGTCAGGCTGCTCACGTTAGTCTGCTGTGGGAAGATCAGGAGCCAAACAGTTTTAAAGAGGGAGCAGGGACATGGTTTTATTTCCTGTTTTACTTTGTGGTTCAGTTAGGTCATGGTGTTGATAACTTCACAGGGGTTCCAGTCCAACATGGTGTTTATATGAATTACAAACAGAATCACGTAGAAATGTACAAATAAAAATGTAATAGATTGCATATGTGCCACTGGTTTTGTGTCTTTCCCTCACTCACCAATGCATAAACTTGGAAGCAGCCTCGTTCAGAGATAGACCAATTAATTAGGGATGCACGATATTGGATTTTTGGCCGATATGTTAAAACTTATTTGGTCGATAACCAATACCGATATTTTATATACGTTCCTTTGTCAGAACATATTCCTCTTATTTAGGCTTATTTGCTACAAAAATTGTGTAACAGCTGTAGAGCTGGTGACATATATTCAGTAACAGTCATATGATATGCATAACACTTCAACTTATATTAAATGAAAAGTGTTAAATGTTATTTATTAGCATTAGTCACCTGCGATGCTGTCTCACTTGTGGAGGTTTGTTCCAGGTTCCTATAGCTGCAGTGTGGGATCCTCTGCACTCTTGTGCATGAAGGACAGACTTTTTAAGATCAAAGTTTTTGTCTATCCATTGTGCCGTAAGACTAATCATGCTAACGTGGCTAACACGACGTCCAGATATTTGTGGTAAAACTCACTCAAGTGCTATCGGCTATTAGCTTCTCAATGACGTCGGTAATGACGGCTTATAACTCGGGTAAGGCTACGTCGGAAAAATATTTCCGACTGGGGACGATATAGCGAGGCTCGACGTAGTCCATAAATCTTCGGAATCTGACATCCTCACCAACGAAAAATAAAACTTCCACATGGCTGACATTTTGAATTTTCCTCTCCGCTGTGAGATCAGGTAGGCGCACGTGACGTCATCACGTTGTGCTGCCGCTGCTGGCATCTTTGTCATTGGGTTTTCTTACAAAAACAGCGTTTTTATATCGGTGAGTTATTTTGATGGAATGGCCGATGTCCGATATTGAACTTGGCGCTAATATTGTCCGATACCATGCCGCTAATATCGTGCATCCCTACAATTAATGTGTTGATATTTGCCACTTTTACAACGATCAGCAGTAGGCCATGCCTGTGCCTATTTAACTATTACCAAGTAGGAAGATAGAGCTGCAGCCGCAGCTACAACCAGCTCCCGTTAGCCCACAGTGATGGTTTGAGACTTGCTTTCTACTCTGTAACTCTCTCTGTCTGTCTTAGTGGGAGAGAAACAAGTGGGCAGTTACCATGGTGACTGTAATGAGCCTCAGACAGCAGCTTTAATATTTCCCTTTAATTTTGTTCACTTTACAATTTTATATAGATTATATATCAAATGAACACATTTTATCAGCTTAGATTATTACAAAATAAAAGTTCACAATTACTGTTGGGCAAAACTGAAATGCCTTTAAGTAAAACATAAATTCTGTATATTTAGACCAATTTTCCAGTTGTACTTTTACTTTCTCTGCTTGTCCCCTTCTCATGGAAGCACTGATGAGCTGTTAGATAATTAAAGCAACTGTTCGCATTTTGCAAACCCCTTGTGACTCATGAGTCACTTTTAGCAGCGACCCGTCAGTGTTTTGGGTATCAGCTTGTTGCACTCGCTGTCCGGATCTGCTCCTATGTGCTGTTTGGGATCCACTGGTCTCTGTTTCCTAAGTTGTGTTCGTTCCCCCTTCTGGCTCTCCTCAGCTGCTCCAGCCATCTGCGCAATGGCAAACAGAGAACAGAGGAATAGATGCAAAGCCGGAGCAGTGGGGGAGGAAGGACACCCGGGCGCGAGAATGATTAGGAGACAGGGAGGATCAGTTAAGAATGAAAAGGTCTTTAGATGCGTAAGGTTTGGTCTGGAGGACGAGTTGTGGCTTAAAAGGAGGACAGGAGCGTGACGGTGAAGTGTCCGCAGGAACCGTTGCCAAGATGCGTGAAGACGACGTCTGTCCTCTCCTACAAATAGAAGTGTGAGTCGGTGCAGAGGTTCAGGACAGTGGAAAACTGGAATGATTCGTGTTGTCTGGGTTTTAAAGTGGGCCCAGTAAACAGCAGCCAGCAGTGAGCTCATTTTACGTCTTTTTTCTTTCTCGTCTCGATGCGTTGTTACTCTTCTCGTTCTGTTCCCATGCTCCACGGGCCAAACCTCTTCCTCTGGGTTGAGTATTTGTCTCAACACTTGGCTTCCTGCACAGCCGGGTACGCAGTTTGTTTGTAAGCTTCGACAGGCCAGTTTCCTGTCACCCCCCGGCCCCCACCCCTATAGTTCTGTATGTTTTAGTTAAAGCAGCTGACGTAACTGAAGCTGTTACCTAATATCAGTGGGGTCGATGTGCGGCCTCTGCAGTTACAGATTTATCAGGTCTTTGGCGCTCCATGTCCTAAACGCTGTATACAGTCTCATTTGTCCTCACTGTTCTTACAGCCCGTCTTCCTTTTTGGGGTTACTGGGTTCGTTGTACACAGCTTGACCCAGTTTGGAAACACATCTGAGCCTTTCTCGCACCTCATCCTACTTTTCAGTTCACAACCACTTCCATCTAATAGTTGGAAAAGGCCATGTTGAATTTTTTTGTTCGTTGAACAGTTGTGTCCTGATGCTGTATTACAGGTGACCTTTACGTTTGCCTCTGTTCTACTTAAACGATATTTTTGTACCACGTTTTGTATACTATCCCAGAAAACTAGTCTTCCACACTAATGCGTTTGATCTCATCAGGAAAGAAAACGCAACCCGCAGCAGAGACTCAGGCCAAGTGTGTCACTGAGCTTTTAAACGTCACACAGGGGAGGGTGTTCACAGCTGGCACACTTTATTCTTTTTCTTCTTTTGGCTGCTCCCTTCCTCAGGAGTCACCACAGTGAACAAACTCGCATGAAGATTTGACAGTGGTTATTTATTTATTTAGTTATTTTTGTGCTGGCTGCTCTTCCAATCCTGACCACAGACCACTGAGCTACCACAGCCCTGTGTGTGGAGCAGAGAGCTGCTATCTAGGGCACCCGGGGGAGCACATGGTGGGGGGTTAAGGACTTTGCTCAAGGGCCCAGAGTGGGGTAAACGAGGGTGGGAGACAGGAGTGGGTGCTTCACCTTTCTCACCCACATTTTGATGTTGTCGGTCCGGGGGGTCGAGCTGGTGACCTTCCAATCATAGACTTGCCTTCTCTAACCTCTGCGCCACCGCTCCCTGGCAGAAACATTAATGTCGATAATTTGTATAATGAGCTGGTTCAGGTGGAGAATGTCCCTCTCTACTTCCTCTGGCCTCCTAAAATACTGTACTATCGAAAGATTTCACTCCAGTCGTAACTCTTGGAGCTGCTATTTAAATGTGCTCATCTGCCACACAGCTGTCACACAGCACCACATGTTTAGTTTTAGTTTTGTTTTCCCAAAAGGGACAAAAAACTAAATTAATTAAAATATATATACATTCAAATGGTTTACATTTGACTTTTAGTTGATAAGTGGGATTATTTTTTATTGAATACTTTTTTTAAAGTGTATCCATCCATCCATCCATTTTCTTTTACCCGCTTCTTCCTTTTCGGGTCACAGGGGTCACTGGTGCCCATATCCAGCAGTCACTGTGTGAAAGGTGGGGGACACCTGGACAGGTCTCCAGTCCATCACAAGGACACATAGAGACAAACGAGACAAACAACCATTCACTCTCTCACTCACACCTAGAGCCAATTTAGAGTTACTAATCAGCCTAATATGAATGTTTTTGGTCTGTGGGAGGAAACTGGAGAATAGAAGAAGAAAGACATTTGATATCTGTAGCATCAGCTCTTTTTTTGGGTGTTTTGGGAACTGTGAAGGCATCTCTTCCTGTTTTGGTTTATTTTAGGATTTCAGTCTTCTTAACCCTTCCTAAAACGAGCTCTAGCCCTCAGAAGGTGGCTTCATATGGATGTATGACATGTTTGATGTTTCTGGCATCAAATTACAAACAAGCATGTATAGATTTTGAATTCTTAATTCATCATTTGTTACAGTGTCTTTGTTGTCTCAATCTGATAAATACAAGAAGTTTTCTGTTTCTCCTCACATACATTCAGTGACTTTAGGATGCTTCATTTTTGTATTTCTGCAAACATTCAATCAGCTGAAATCTTCAGATACAGTGTTACGTAATCTCTGTGTGTGTGAGGATAAAGATGATGACTTTATCTGATTCCTAAAGCTAAAACATTCCTGAGCTGTGTGCTGATAGCAGAGGCAGCGGTTCATGTCTGGTCTTGCTGTTGACTGGCTGCTCTATGTGTTCTCTCCTTCAGACCAACCCTCAGTGTCTTCAGAAAGTCTCTGGAGCTGCGGCCTTCCTGTGAGAGTGAGTTCATCTAGCTTGTTCCTGCAGAGACGGAACGCCGCTGTTAGAAGGGGAGATGAAGCCAGATGGGGTTGCCACAGCAGCACTGGAGCCAATGGAAACACTGGAATCTAATCCAGTAAATGAGGCAGTGCCACCTACAGGACAGGAGCTCAACCCCGCAGCCTCTCCAGTGGAGGAGGAGATGCCGCAGCAGCCTGTCGGAGAGGCGAGTCAGGCTGAGCCGCTGCCAGACCAGCCCAAGGAAACTCCAGCCGCCAAGACTGGCAGCAAGGCCACAGGAGACGTCAAGGCCAAGACTACCAACAAGGTCACGATTAAGACAAAAACCAGCACCACCAGCTTACCCAAGACTTCAGCTGGCCCGCGGTCGACCACATCCCAGAGCCGCATCTCAAATGGCACTTCTAAGCCTCAAACTAACGGCGTGGCTAAGAAGACTACACCTTCTGCAGAAAAAAAGAGTGCCCCGCTCGCCGCACCCTCTAAAAAGACAGCAGCCACCACAGCTGGGGCCTTAGCCCCCAAGAGCACCGCTAAAGTGGGCGAGAAGAAAGCCACAGGGGTTAGTCCATATCTCAGCGGTACAAAGACTTCAACTGGAGGACCAGCAGCCAAAAAGACCCCATCCACCACAGCTAATGGTGTCAAACCGAGCCCCACTGCATCTGCAGCTAAAAAGCACCCAGGTAGGTTGGATATTTTCACACTAATGTCTTCAGAGCGTCTGCTGTTTCACAAACACACAGGTAGTCTAAATGGCCTCCAACACTAATGAGAGCTGTTCATTGTAACGTAATCCTCAGAAAGCTGCACACTGAATGAGTTTAGCTCTTAATGCACACGTGAGAGTGGCTGCTGCTATACTAGAAACACATCTGCCCCCAAATCTTTCTAACAGCATATGACAGAAACATCTGCCTGACCTACATCTGTGACTTACGCCATATGTTTTTATTTTATTGCTATTGTTTTATACTTATTGTCTTTGACCTTTTCTCTCCTGTCACCACCTCTCTGTCCTCCAGCGCCTAAACCTGCCAGCGCTTCTTCCACCAAGACGACTGCCGCCGCTTCAACCAAACCTGATAAACCTCCTGTTTCCAAGACAACCAGGTAGGGCTGGCATTTATTTCCCACTCGTTCATGTGCTAGCACACATGGACTTAGTGTTTGTCGGGCGTGGTCTGTTTGGAAAATACGTGTTTAAAATGTGAGTAAACGTGAAGCTCCTCGATGTGAACCATAAAAGTTTGTTCAAAGACTCCACTTTGCTCCAGGTTCAACAAGGACGCTTGTAAAGATAGAACACACTGAAGGAATGAGGGACAGTGATCCTGCACGCAGAGGGTTGAAGAAAGCAGGCGGAAGTAGGCCAGCAGCAGAACAGGCCTGAAGGATGCCTTGCAGAGTTTGATCAGAGCCAGCATTATTCATTAGAGTGGGACAGAGGTGCAGCCAGAACAAGAGAAAGCTCTCAGTGGTTGTGCGTCCTTAAAGCAAGGCCTTGTTTGTGTTTTCATATGGACTTGTGTTTTGAGTGCAATCAGCATGTGTTTCTCACTTGAGTCACACTGTGTGGGTGATGCTGGACCCTGAGCTGACCTGGCAGAAGGCCAGGAGACGTGGCTGAAGCAGATCATTGTCTGAGACTGTTGTGATCATGATCATACAGAGCCTGAAAGCCTCTTCCTGTAGTTTGTTTTGGAAACACGATGCCTTTTTCCTCTTCCCTGTTACGATGTCTCGTTGGTCTTTAAACACTGCGTTCGAAACCGACTGGATCGTTTGGAGAGAATTACAAAAAAACCCACTCAGAGCAGGATTTGTTATATTTATAGTACATAAAAATATCAAGTTTGTATTTTAACTCGCACAATAGGTAAAGATATTTAGGCTGTTATTAATCAAACGTAACATTTGCCTGTTTGTTTTTCAAAACTCAATAATCAACTTGTTGCACCTGTTGCTGTTTGCAGGTCATTTCTGATCTTTGGGAAGTTGCTACCTGCAGATTCCAGTTTCTAACTTTATATTTGAAATATTCATTTAAAAAATAGTTCTAACTTCTAGGTAAATTTACTTTTCATTCAACTTCTATTTATACAGGTTAGTTCCCATAGTGCCTCAGGGACTCATTTACAAGAGAGACCTGTTAAAGTTACTTACCATACTTGCCGCCGTACACGTTGCATCAGTCCAAATATGTCTAATAAAGTGGAAAAAACATAAATATGTCACTTCGCCGTATAAGTCGCATCTATTATGCGTCACTGCTGATGCTTCGCGTTTGTTCGTCCCCGCGGACAACCTGGAAATGTGGAAAAAACAATTATTTGTTTGCTTGAAATTATAGTAACGGTGTGTCTCAGTTGAACTGTTCCTTAATGAATGCACTTTGACGGTCAAATCAGCTGCATTTTCAAAAACTGATTCGCAGAAGCGGGAGCACGCAGAGGGAGGACTCGCTGTGCATTTCTTCGAAATTTAACAAGATAAGCACCTAAATCAATTATTTGTTTGCGCAACATTATAGTAAAGGTGTGTCTCAGTCTAACTTTTCCTTAATGAATGCACTTTAATGGTCAAATCAGCTGCATTTCATCTGGGCAGAGCAGCAAAATGCAGCTGATTTGACGTTTGCTCCAGAAGTTCCAGAGAGAGATGAAGGTGACTGATGTGGCAAGTCAAGTGTCTCATTAATAGCCACGTTTACCTATTAATGAGACACTTGGCTTAGTTGCCATATTAGTTGAGGGCCCTCTAGTGGCTGAAAATGGTAGTGTTCAATATTTTCCATGTCAGAATGAATGAAATTGTCAGATCTCAGCCAAAAATTGGTTTATAAATATGGACTAAAAATGTATATTAGTAGCTTCGCTGTATAAGTCGCAGGACTTGCAAATTTATGCAAAGATGCGACTTATACAGCGAAAAATACGGTACATTACTTGAGCAGAGGCAAGTTTATATAGCTGGATGCATGGCAAATTACAGCTAGAATTATAATCATTATATAACTTTTCACAGTTTTCTCCTGCTTGCAAACATGTCTTTAAAAATAACCAGATTTATTTAAACTGTGTCACTATAAAACTAATCAGCATATGTTCATGTACACCACTTTGTTTACAAACAATCCTCTATGTAAGACAAATGGATCATTTCAGATCATCCACGTCTGCAGGCAGGGCGCTCGGTTCTGTTGACAGGGCGGGGCGCCCTCTAAGGATAATGGAAGGAGAAACAGTATACCAACATGTAACTCCTCCAATCCACACTAACTGCTCAGTCGTCATGAGCTAGATGTTTTAGATCCACACTCACTCTCTCATTGTGCCTGTTGTAGCAGCTGGATTGTGGAGATTAAACTCAGATTACAGCTTTAGCTGATGTGCAAACATCTCATTAAGCAGAATTGAACAACGTCACGCCGGTAATCTCCTGTGCAGTGAAGCACGCTCACATCTATGAACTATGCCGGTGTTTTAATCCATAACTACTAACAGGATCAACGTTGTGTCACTAAGTCCAGTTATGTTGTGATAATTCCAATCTCTCAGACTATCAGTTTGTGTAAATTAGTCCTCTGCCTTGCAGATGGTTAGAACCAGAGGACCTCTAAAGGCTATTTAAGGGACATGGTCTCTGGTCCTCTGGTTAATTAAAGATGTTCAGTGAAATTGAAGTATAATAGAAACTTGCATTATTTTGTATTTGATTTATTAGATTATTATGTAAATTTAACAAGAGATTAGAGTCAAGCCAAGCCGACTTAATCACTTTAAAGAAGAAAACAGTTTCACGAGCTTCCCTGAAAGAAACTACTGATGATAGGCTCTGGTTACAACACACACCCCTGAAGGCACGTTCAGTGCAGTGTGTGTGTGTTCACGTCAGTGTTTGGATCCTGCCATGCGCTCTGACAGGGCCATAAATTTGAGCTTTAATGAGATTTTGTCCTTTACCGCCCTCGCTCTGTTGTTAATTTCTGCCTGTTATCTATCAGCCAACTGGAGGAGAGCTGCGTGTCTCTGTTTACTCAGCCCTCCTCTAAAAGCTCAGCTGATTTAATTCCACTTAAAGCAGGTTCCAGTTATCGGACAAATGAAAGTGCTGGGCCCGGACTGGCTCTCTAAGTTAAATCAATCCAGTGTTTCTCCTCTTTAAGTCTTAGCCGGATGGATTTAAGTTTGGAGCAGCGATTGATTTTTTCTTTTTAAACAAATGTATCTTTTGTGCATTTAAAGCCAACACAAAAGGACGCTCCATTTTTGTAGCTGAAGCTTTTTCTCTCAAACTGGCCTCTTCATTGCGTTTCATTTACCTACTAAAACAGTAATGAAGGTCAATAAAGGTGTCAGAGACGTGTTTAAAGTGACGCATCGTGCCGTTTCTGGACTAATAACAGTTAATACGAAGCACGTGTGCAAATATGCAACACGTTCTGACTTTTACATGTAAGTTCAAAGCCAACTCCTCTCCGTGTAAGCAACTTCCAAAAGAACTGGCACCACATGCTGCCTTTGCTGTAAAGAAGCTGTTTAGCGGGGACATGTGGCACTCATGGGTGCACGAGCAGCCAGTTACAATGCAGAGCATGTGTTCAGCATTTGGTGGCACAATACTAAGCATGATGGGAAGGAATATACGCTGACATGCTGGACATGTGGTCCATGTGCACGAGACTCTGAGCTTTCCCTGCCTGCACTTCTTCTGTCTCTGGATTCAAAATGGTTGCAACAGAGATGAACGCTGCATCAATGAATAAGTTATTTGAGTCCCACCTGAACTCCATCACTCGTGTTTGTCGTGTGTGTTCGGGTTCTTCATGACACGAGTGAGAGACAGGAAGGTGCGCCGCACCCCGCTGTAGATCACAGGAAAGAACGAGAGTGTTCAGATTTTAATGCTCAAACGTAGCTGCCAGTGTCACCACATTAGTCATGCTGTGTTTCACCCTGATGGTCCCCCGGGGGCGATACATTTTTATTGGATCAGATTAAATGCAGCCCTGAGTGATCCAACAAATTGCAGCTGATGTAATGGTCGGGTAAGAAGGAGCCTTGTTTCAGGCACCGTTCAGCAGCCCAGCATCAAACTGGGGACATGTTGCGCAGGCTGTAAATCTTCTGTCCTGCTCCGGGTGTGGTTGATGACTCCACGATGCAGTCTTCTGCTGGCATGATCGCACCGGGGTGCAGCCAAAGAGCCAATTACTGAATGGATTTGATTGGAATGGGTTGGAGAGAGACGGGGGGAGGCGCACGTCTGGCTGTGAGGAAAAAGATATTTGTAGGGGTTTCAGTCAGGCCTCAGACATGGCAGCTGTGTGATCATTTAAAAGTGGCTTTGTGGGGAAAATACTGACTCAAAACCAGACTGCCATTATTTTTTATTCACTTAAGAAAAGAACTCCTGCCATTTCTAAACAGAAACATTTAAACATTTATCAGAATGTGATTTTATTTGTACACCAGCTTGTGCTTTTATGTTGCATTGTGTTGCTGCAGACACTGCTGTGGCCTGAGGCTCAAACAACCAGTCTCAGGTGGCTCCGTCTGCCCCACAATAAAAGCTTAATAAAAAGAAGACAGTAATAACAGCATCACTCAGTCAGTCGGTGGAAAAACGATCCTGTCTCCATATTTGTACCGTTTAATTAATGCGTCGTCATCTTTAATTTGCTGCTCATCTTAAAAGCATGGAGTTCCTCTTGACTGTAATCGTCCATCTCTACTGCAGAGAAGATGTCTGCTTTGTGTTTCCTCTCCTCCTACTTGTCTACCCTCTTTTACAAGTCCCATTATTTCAGCTGACGCCTGTGCTTTGTTGGATTGCAACCAAAACCCCCAGCAGGCAGCCATGTTTAAACACACGTCTTGTTATTGAGGACATCACATCTGCAATGAAATTAGAATGTTTTCGTCGACCCTAACGTGACCATCGCAGTCTTCAGAGTTTGTACTGCATGCGTCAGTGCGCCTGTAGCAACAACGAACCCTCTTCTGATGTTTCAGCTCAGTTTCATTTCTGGGCTTTCTGTTCAACATCAGCCTTCAGCCTGATTTACAGTGTTTGTCCCAGCGAGGCCTGTGGTGAAGCCTAAACGATGAGCACGGCTTCTCTCCTTTAATACGAGCAGCTCGTTGGGTTAAATATGGATCCATCGTTTGAACAACACATTCCTAGAGGTTTCTCAGTTATTCAGCTGAAAGACGTCAGTGACAGGATGAAGCATCACTCGTTCTGACTTCAGCACCAAGTTGTGTTAAACTGCTTCTGAGCAAACCCAGCTCTTTAGTTCCATATTTTTCTCCTTATAAGTCACAGTTTTTTACATAATTTACATGCCCTGCGACTTATGAAGCAACATATTTATGGATTTTTCCCACATTTATAAACCAATTTTTAGCTGATATGACCGTGTGAAAATATTGAACACTACCATTTTCAGCTGTTAGATAGCAGTCGAGTTGTATGGCATGCCGTTGTGTCATGTAATAGGTAAAAGTGGCTATTAATGACACAATCGGCTTTCCTTATGTGCCACTGTCGTCTGCCTGGAGCAACCGTCAAATCAGCTTCATTTCGCTGCGCCGCCCCGGTGAAATGCAGCTGATTTGACCACTGAAGTGCATTTATTAAGTAAAAGTTCAACTGAGACACACGTTTACTATAAAGTCGAGTAAACAAATAATTGTTTTAGGTGCTTATCTTGTTAAATTTTGAAAAAAATGCACAGTGAGTCACCCTCTGCACGTTCATGTTTCCTCGTATCGGCTTTTGAAAATTCAGCTGATTTGACCGTCAAAGTGCATTTGTTAAGGAAAAGTTAGACTCTTTACTATAATTTCGAGCAAACAAATAATTGTTTTTAAGTGTTAATCTTGTTAAAGTCCTCCCGTGCACGCCCTGGTGGCCGCTATTTGGCAGCCAATCGATTTCTGGCACAACACCGGCCCACATTTCTGGGTTGTCAGCGGTGATGCATAATAGATGTGGTGTATACGGCGAAGCAACGTATTTATGGGTTTTTCCACTTTATTAGACATATTTGGACTGATGCAACTTATAAGGTGGTGTGACATTTACGGCAGAAAATACAGTAATCAGGACAAACCACTGATTTTAAATAGTTTGGGTGGTGCGCGTGGTTAAAGCTTGACGGAGCTTTCCAAATTCCAGTCATTGCCTGGAGTAAGACTTAATTTGAAAGAAGTCATTTATGCTGTAGAAGCAAGGAGAATTTGTGGATGGTAGTATTATGTTTCACTGGGACGTGGCTGCAGGAACATCACACCTCTCCACCTGGTTTCTGCAACATACGAGCAGACAGAAACTGAAAAAAAAACAAGGTGGAGGACTTTCAGTGGTTGTAAACAACACATGGTGTAATCCTGGATGTGTTTTTGTAAAGATGATCCATTCCAGGGTCATTTAACTGTTTACTTTGACTTTGAGGCCCTGTCATGTATAAAGAACATTTTTCTTATTTTTGGTATTATGATCAGATCATTCTAATCTAAAGCTGCACTCCACTTCCTAAAGTATATATATATTTGTATTGGTTGATATTTATGTTTGAATTATTAAAATGTCAGTTCATTTAATTCATATTATGGGCTCAGATTTTTCATCTTGCTTTTTGTGTATCAGTTTGTCTTCGTTCCTTTGAATGAGCGCTTCCATTATTTATAACAACGTGCGGCTGATTTAACTAAGTATAGCAAATCAAGCAGTAAGTTTCTACAGATCTAAACCATTGAGTTATTTTTTAAAAATTGACTTGAACCTGTTGTTTTGGTTTATTCTTTGTGAATGACTTACTTTCCAGATGTTAAAACCATTGTGCCTTTTTTTAGATGATCTGTATTCCTTTCATCACACAATTAGGAATGTTCTCTGAAAATCCCATTAGTAATCGTCACCTCTAATGCCAGGCTTTCCTGTCATTCTTATGCACTCATTCAACATGGCAAACGCTCAGAAAGTATTTTCACTTTGAGTCTAAAATGTTACATCTTAGAAATCCATGGTCATGAAGAGGATCAATAACAAGAGCAGGAACAAGAATGATGGATTACTGCAGGCACGAGGCGATCACATAATCTGGCAGGGAGGCAGAGACTGGCTAGTGCAGCGCACAGGTGCAGCTGGAGGGAAACTGGGAGTGGCACAGGTGAGCTGAGTGGAGGAGTTTAGGACAAGCAGAAAATACATAAACATGGGCCTGGCTCGGCCTGAAACATGAATCTTTACAGTTAAATTATATTTTCTTATCAGCTGCTTTAATGGTGATGGGACTTCAGTAAGAAAAGAGACAGAGAGGTTTCTCTTGTTACTAATCTGGCTAATTTACATCTGAATTAGTCTTCAATTCATCTCAAATGTAGACCAGTGCATCACAAATGTGTGCACCACTTGTTTTTCATTGCCACGTTTATAAATCTAAAGAAGCTCTGACTTTATAACGATGTTAACAAATGTCCAAAGCAGCAAATCCTGAACTGAAGGATGTGGATCAAGCTTAAGACCTGATCTGAGCTCCTGAAACCACCACACCCTTGTTTGTTTCCACCCATCGCTGTATTTTATTTTGTTTCACAAACAGCACTCCAGTCGCGTTGCCAGGTTGAGCGCAGCACACACATGGTTTCATTACCCTCACACAATGAGTGTCCTTTTAACAGCACCTGTGTCCAGCTGAGGGGGGCTGGAGATGTTATTTTTGCTCTCCTCTCAGTAGATATATCAACTTAGTCCCAGCCATCTTCTTCCACCTTCCTCCCTGTTCTCTTTCTGCCAGAACTAACTCGGTTCTTTATTTAGAAACATGCAGTTACTGCAGTGTGGGCCCGGGAGACTGCACGCCCCAGACTTGTCAGAACTACTAGATGTAGGTTATTTCGCTCAGACCTGACATAAAAGCCAGATGGAGCAGGCAGAAAGGGTGATGCATGCTGCCCCAAGTGTCATTTTTGTGTGGGTCCAACCAGAGGAGGGGGACAGGGTTGAGTCAGGGTTAGGAAGCCTCCCTCGGGTCTGTTGTGACTCATCTTTCAGACGGCTTTACCCCGTCTCTCAGGGGAGTGTCACCGTGCTGAGGGACAGCAAACTGGCTCTTGTTCTGCTGTTAACCAGTGTTTCAGAGGCTGTTTATTAAAAAAGTACATATCCACCTGACATTTTGCTTTATTTATATCTTATTACAGTTTTTTTCTACGTTAATGTCCCCTCAAACTTACTTTAAATATGTCTGCTGTGCCAACTCTGGGAGCAGCTCGGCTCTAACCTTTTTGTTTGTTGTATGTTTTCAGGCCCACAGTCAGCACAGCAGCGTCGTCTCGCCCTGCTACTGGCTCATCTCACACAGCGAGCACAACCAAGAACTCCACAGCTGCATCCAAAACGGCCGCCCCTAAAACGACCTCCATCACGGCTAAACCCCCAACTCCCAAATCAACGACCACTGCACCCTCTGGTGGCAAAACTCCAGTATCACAAACATCAAGGAACACGACTCCCGTGAAAAAAGGTGCAAAAGACTCATTCAGCTCTTGAATAAAATCAGACATGTTGTGTCAGAAGTGATCAAATGAAACCGCACAGCAACTAGAAGCAAAAATAAAATGCACACAAAGCCTCGTCGTACACGTGCATTTTTAAACCCAGAGGAGCAGAAAGCTCAGAGCACCAAGAGTTCAGAGTTCTACAGGTGCATAAAATTAGAATATCACGAAAAAGTTTATATATTTCAGTAATTCCATTCAGAAAGTGAAACTTGTATATTGTATTCATTCATTACACACAGCCTGATATATTTCAAATGTTTATTTATTTTAATGTTGATGATTATAACTGACAACTAATGGAAACCCCAAATTCAGAATCTCAGAAAATTAGAATATTACTTAAGACCAATAAAAAAAGGATTTTTAGAAATGTTTGCCAACTGAAAAGTATGAACATGAAAAGTGTGAACATGTACAGCACTCAGTACTTAGTTGTTGCTCCTTTTGCCTGGATTACTGCAGCAATGCGGCGTGGCATGGAGTGGACCAGTCTGTGTCACTGCTCAGGTGTTCTGAGAGCGCAGGTTCCTCTGATAGTGGCCTTCAGCTCTTCTGAATTGTTGGGTCTGGTGTATCACATCTTCCTCTTCACAATACCCTATAGATTTTCTATGGGGTTAAGGTCAGGCGAGTTTACTGGCCAATTAAGAACAGGGATACCATGGTCCTTAAACCAGGTACTGGTAACTTTGGCACTGTGTGCAGGTGCCAAGTCCTGTTGGAAAATGAAATCTGCATCTCCATAAAATTGGTCAGCAGCAGAAAGCAGGAAATGCTCTAAAACTTCCTGGTAGATGGCTGCGTTGACCTTGGACCTCAGAAAACACAGTGGACCAACACCAGCAGATGACATGGCCCCCAAACCATCACTGTGGAAACTTGACACTGGACCTCAAGCAACATGGATTCTGTGCCTCTTCTCTCTTCCTCCAGACTCTGGGACCTTGATTTCCAAAGGAAATGCAAAATTTACTTTCATCAAAGAACATAACTTTGGACCACTCAGCAGCAGTCCAGTCCTTTTTGTCTTTAGCCCAGGAGAGACACTTCTGACGCCGTCTCTTGTTCACGAGTGGCTTAACACAAGGACTGTGACAGCTGAACCCCTTGTCTTGCATACTTCTGTGCGTGGTGGTTCTTGAAGCACTGACTTTAGCTGTAGTCAACTCTTTGTGAATCTCCCCCACCTTTTGGAATGGGTTTTGTTTCACAATCCTCTCCAGGGTGCAGTTATCCCTAGTGCTTGTACACTTTTTTTTCTACCACATCTTTTCCTTCCCTTCACCTCTCTTAATGTGCTTGGACACAGAGCTCTGTGAACAGCCAGCTTCTTTAGCAATGACCTTTTGTGTCTTGCCCTCCTTGTGCAAAGTGTCAATGGTCGTCTTTTGGGCAACTGTCAAGTCAGCAGTCTTCCCCATGATTGTGCAGCCTACAGAACTAGACTGAGAGACCATTTAAAGGCCATTGCGTTTTGAGTTAATTAACTAATTAGAGTGTGGCACCAGGTGTCTTCAATATTGAAGCTTTTCACAATATTCTAATTTTCTGAGATACTGAATATGAGGTTTTCATTAGTTGTCAGTTATAATCATCAACATTAAAATAAATAAACATTTGAAATATATCAGTCTGTGTGTAATGAATGAATATAATAAACAAGTTTCACTTTTTGAATGGAATTACTGAAATAAATCAACTTTTTCACGATATTCTAATTTTATGACCAGCACCTGTAAGTGCAAAGACAGCAAAAATTCATTTTCACTTTTTTAGTTACTTGGTACTGCACATGTTTAATTTACCATTTATCAGAACACAAAAGTTTAAACCTTATTTGTTACCATGTTAACTGTGTTTTTCTGTTCTATGTTCATGTAGATCTTACCAAACCAGCCACACCAGCAGGTAAAAAGCCTGCAGACTCCCCCCTTTCTCGTCCTTCTCCCACAACAAAGCCAGCTAAAGCTGAGACCCCCAAACCGTCTTTAAAAACCAATGTTGCCACCAAAAAACCTACTACACCTAAGGCTGCAGAAACAAAGACACCAAGTCGCCCCAAAACACAAGAGAGTAAGTCCACGCCTTCCAAGGATGCCTCCAAGACGCCTACCACAAAAACAACTAAGACCCCAAGCTCTAAGAAGACGGTGGGAAGTAGCACCCCAACTCCTGTGAAACGGGCCCCCAAAGCAGCAACACCCGCTGAGCCTGGGAAAGAAGTTGCTGCTGCTGCTGTAGCAGTAGCTGCTGCAACCATCGCAACTGCAGCTTCTGTCGCTGCAGCACCAGAGGAGCCCCATGCAGAGGAAGCTGCACCATCCGCTGCTATTCCTGTGGTGGTGCCAGAACAAACACCAGAGCCCACAGTCCAACTAGTGTCAGAACCAGTGTGTGAGCCAGTACAAGACCTCCAACAGCCACCAGTATCCCAGCCCTTGCAGGCAACTACACCCGAGCCCATGCGGGTACCTACACCAGAGCTCGTGAGAGTACCTACACCCGAACCCATGCGGATACCTACACCAGAGCCCATGCGGGTACCTACACCAGAGCCCGTGAGAGTACCTACACCCGAACCCATGCGGGTACCTACACCAGAGCCCATGCGGGTACCTACACCAGAGCCTATGCGGGTACCTACACCCGAGCCCATGCGGGTACCTACACCAGAGCCTATGCGGGTACCTACACCCGAACCCATGCAGGTACCTACACCAGAGCCCGTGCGGGTACCTACACCCGAGCCCATGCGGGTACCTACACCAGAGCCCGTGCGGGTACCTACACCCGAGATGATTCAAGTACCATCACTTGCGCCCATGTGGGAACCAGTAATCCAACCCGTACATGAGCCAAGTTCAGTCCAAGTACTAGAATCTTCTCCTGAGCCTCGGGTCAAAATGTTTGAGCCGTCAGCACAGACAGAACCAGAACCTGAGCTGGCCTCTAGTGTTCAAATATCCACACGGACTGAGCCCCTCAAGTTGGAAGACGACAGCTCGGTTCCGTCTTTGGGAACTACAGTCATGTCTCCTCCTTGCTCCCCACCAGGTCTGGCCTCTCCTGTCAGAGAACCACAGAACTCTCTTCTAGAGATGGATGCCCAGTTTGATCCCTGGGACAGGAACCAAGCTTGTGCTGAGCTTCCTTCCAAAAGTTCAGACAGCTTTATGAGATTTCAGGCAGAAGAGGAGAAAGAAAATAAAAGCTATGGCATTCAGGGGGAGGAGGAGGAGGAGGAAGAAGAAGAAGACGAAGACGATAAAGAAAACATGTTTCTGCCTACCTCCACAGCTTCAGGAGTCCAGTTAGGTGCTTCACCTCTGGATCATTTCACCCATGGAGACCTGGTCCCACCTCAAGTGAAGGAGGAGGCAGTGGAAAAGGCTGATGAGGAGATCAATGAGGATGATGATGATGAGGAGGAGGAGGATGAAGAAGACGAAGAACAAAAGAGACCGGACCACCATCTTTCATCCCTGATCACTGACATGAGCACATCTCAGCCCTCTGATGAAATTCCAGTGCGTTCGTCAGCGTTTGGTGGTTCTGCAGGGTGGCCCGGGGACGACCTGCTGTCTGGGATGGACTCTGAGGACGTGAGCAGCTGCACGAGCAGCCGGCAGCAGGGGGTCTCGGACCTCAGCAGCACCCAGCACACAGCCATCCTGGAGGGCACCCAGAGCTCAGACGCCTTGATCGACTCTAGTTTCAGAGGCTCAGAGGGAGATGGAAACCTCATGGGCTCTCCAAACGTGGAAACTATCGCCAATGAGGAAGAGGAGGATGATGATGAAGAGGATGACCGAGTGGATGATATCGACATGAGCTCAGAGCAAGTAGAGGAACATCACACCATGTTCCAGAAGCAGGACGAGGAGGAGGATGACGATGTGGAGATGCACAGTGAAGGAGTAACAGGAAGCTGTGAGAACGTAGATGAAGACTTTAATCATGAAGAACATGCGGACCACCTTAGTTGCTCTGGTCCTCCACCTTGTGCCCCCCCTGCCTCCTCCTGGGGTCACACAAACCCTTTCTGTGATACCTGGGCTCAGCCAGCCTCGCTGCTCCCTGCCTCCTCACCCAGCCCCACATCTGACCCTGACGCCGCCGAGTCTGAGACCCCCACCCAGTCTCCTGCACAGGCTCGTGTAGACCTCACTGCCCCCTCCTTCCCCCCGCAGTCGGAGCAGGCACCCCACCAGCTTCACTCTGAGGAGGTGAAGGTCTCCGCTCCCGAGGAAGCTCACGACCTGCTCGCTGCCCCTGCTGTCGGCATGTCCCAGTCCAGCACTCTGAGCGGCACCGCCCTGGCCGCCCTCAGCAGCAGCGAGACGAGCACGCCCGAGGACCTCCGCGATTACGACAGCAGCTCCGGGGTGGAGTCCCACTCTGACAAACAGCAGACCCCCATCCCTGCTTCAGTCCAGCCTGACATGGAGCAGGACCTGGGCATTCATTTAGAGAAAGGTGATGGAGAGGAGGAGGAGGCTGAGACGCTTCCTGCTGACGAAGTCCTAGGAACAGGACCTCCAACTGCTCCTGCGTCCGACCCTTCCTCTCCCTCCACCTCGGGCGATGAGGCCAGCGACACAGAGGGCGAGATCCAAATCAACGACCCAGAAGCACCGGTTCTGATGGATGAGAGGGTGGGATTTGAAAGCCCCCCTCCATCCTGTAGCCTGACTGCTCTTGAGGAGGATGAGGAGGCAGGGGATACAGCAGGTGGAGAGGGTGAAGAAGATGGAGGTGGAGCCACCCCTCAGTCAGCCAACTCTGTGGCGTCGTATGGCTTCGACTGCACCATGTCCAACTCCAACGCTCACTCCATGGCTGAGAGCTGCGGAAAGAGCCCCGGGATCTTCTCCCTGGAGAACGAGGAGCAGCTGCCAGAGGAGGCCAAGGACCCCTCCCTTATCAAGGAGCTGACCCTTCCATCTACAGCTGCTGCTGCCCAGGGTGAAGACCTGCTGGGAAACCCTGTGGACCTGATCCCTTTGGGCCACCCAGAAGATAAGTACCCCAGTCTAGATCACTATATGCTTGGAGGCAAGATCGCAGGAGAACACCTGGAGGAGTTTGATCCACTGGAGGGCAGCCAGCACCTCGGGGGTCTGGAATCCGAAGACCCCGATGACAACCAGCCTCCCTACTACTCCACCATATGTGATAAGACTGATAGTTTTCTGGAAGGTAACGTATAAGTCCCTTCTATAATCCCTGGAATGCACCTTTTTTCCTGCAACCCTCCCCGTTTCCCCACATTGTTTGTTTCTCTCCAGTCGGGTTAGATGTCTTAGAGAAAAAAGGAGAGCAAGATATTAGAGAGAAGTTTTTAAAAATGAACGAAGGAGATGGGGAAAAAACGACTGTAGCAATTTTTAAATGAAGCCCTCCGTTTTCTTACTGTTCTGGTTCTGAGTGTGTGGCTAAAACAGCAGCTTTTTCTAGTTCTGCATATTCTGTTGCCCCTGATGGGGGGGGGGGGGGGGGTATTATTGACTCACTGGTCCAACGTGACCGGGCCTTTACACCGAAAAACAACAAAGGAAGAAAAAAGAAACTGATGAAATGAAACGGACTCATTGTGTATTTATCCTGCTGTTTTTATCGAACAATTGTCTGCGATTTTTATTTTTGGTTGGTTGTTTTTTTGTTGTTTTCTGTTAAACACGGTCCTCTTACCCTGTGTACACACTCCATGTTCCACATCATAGCGATAGTCACACGTTTCTTTCTACAATGTTCTTGTTGCAAGACTTTTAGCTATCAGAACTACAGGTTATGTATTAACGGTTAGGTGTGGGAGGATTAGATGTAGGGCTGACCCAAATGTCTCAAAGCTTCAAAGATTGTTGCCATGGTAACTGATGCTCAAATTAGGACCGTAAACTGGGATCAAACTCATTTAATGGTCAGAATGACCTGTATAAACAGTTACAACTACACTATCAAGATGTTGGAAAGTGTCTGGGCACCGTCTATGATCTGGAATAGCGTAAAAATGTGTGAGGGGAAAATTAATTTATTTAATTAAATAAATTAATGAACAACTATACAAAGTTTGTCCGGAATGTTTTGACAAATTCACGTTTTAAATCTAAAAGTTTCACCAAAACTTTGAAGCCTTAGCAGTGGTATTTGGGACAGTTCTAATTAGATTACCGTTGTTTGTTGCTTCGAAACGGTTTTGCGCTCTTTGCATAGGTTGATAATAAAAAGTGCACACACGTACGGTTTGTGTTTCAGGCTTTTGTTTTCAAGTGGCTCCGCTTTTTGTTTCAGAACCGTTGAATAACTAGCCTATTATTTAATGAAACGCTGCGTAATCCTACAGTTGAGCTCTACACGCTCGAGTTTTTCATTAGCCAGCTTTTGGTTTACTATTTGAACAGTATATTGCATGTTTAACTAACAAAACAAAAAAAGACTGTACTACTTCCTGCTATTTGAAACAGTTCTACAGTAGACGTGTTCAGAGTTGAATGGTTCACACTAGGATATCTTTCAAAATTCCATTAAAACATTGTTGCAAGGCATTCTGTTCCTGTTTCTTACTTTCCCTGCGGATCCTGCATGCCTCAACGTATTGTCCTCGTGTTCCAGTGGTTGTGTGTGTTTATGCTGTTTGTTTATGCAACAATACGCCCCTCAACATCCCCTCTTCTTCACGATGGGATATACATTAAACAGGAAGTGATGCAACATTATGCACATGCAGTTTTGGTCTGATTGAAAAGATAATCCAGGTGGTACCAGTCATGGATCTGACATGCTCTAACATCCTTTTTTTTAAATTGACATACTTAAATAAGGGGTGTGTCCTTGTCTTTTACTTTAACCCCAGTAGTCGGTTCAGTTGTGCCACTGTGTCGTTGGTAAGTGCAGCTCCACTCGGCTCTTCTTGGTTATTGTCAGGTGACTTGTCCCTACAGTGGAGGCTCACCTGTGTGCCGCTCTGTGAGCGGATCATAACTGGCCTTTTATGTTTGAGCCACTCCGTTCGTTGTGATCCTTAATCGCTCTGTAATTGGACTTGAATTTCGTTATCTTGTCCTGGCACTGCTTATAGTCCGGGTGTAGCCATGCTGCACCATCATCTCTGATATCTCTCAGTAGGGATGCACAATATTATCGGCATGGTATCGGTATCGACCGATATTAGCGTTAAATTTCAATATCGGCCATTCCATGAAAATAACTCGCTGATATATTTTGCCAGCAGCGGCAGCACAACGTGATGACGTCACGTGCACCTACCTGATCTCACAGCAGAGAGGAAAATTCAAAATGTCAGCCATGTGGAAGTTTTATTTTTCGTTGGTGAGAATGTCGGATTCTGAAGATTTCTGGACTACGTTGAGCCTCGCTACATCGTCCCCAGTCAGAGATATTTTTCCGACGTAACGTTACCCGAGTTACAAGCCGTCATTTCCAACGTCGTTGAGAAGCTCATAGCCGATGGCACGACTTGTTGGGTGAGTTTTACCACAGACATTTGAATGTCAAGTGTTAGCCCCGTTAGCATGATTAGTCTTACGGATGGATAGACAAAAACTATGAATTTAAAAAGTCTGTCCTTCATGCACAGGAGTGCAGAGGAACCGTTAATATAAGTCAAAGTGCTATGCATATCGTATGGCTGTTACTGAATATATGTCACCAGCTCTTACAGCTGTTGCACAATTTTTGTAGCAAATAATACTAAATAAGAGGAATACGTTCTGACAAAAGAACGTATATAAAATATCAGCATTGGTTATTGGTGAAATAAATTTTAACATATCGGCATATCAGCCAAAAATCCAATACTGTGCATCCCTATTTCTCAGTTAATGCGCTCATTTCTTGTGGCGCTGTCCGTCAACACGATGAGGAAGTGGAGGTTCAGATGTAGTTTCCAGTTTTGCTGGGTGGGTCGTCCGGTGACGTAGCTCCACTGACCAATCAGCAGCTGCTGGCTGCTTACGTCAGAATCGGCCCCTCAAAGCGGTCCACTTGGTTCCTCAAACACAGTGCTTCCACAAACCAGGCTGAGTGGGTGTGGGTGCTGGCAGTGGGCAGGCCCTTAACTGGTTGCATTGTGGTGCAGAGCCGATAAGAGTCGATCATGGCAAAGCTTTATTAGAGTGGTGTTCCTGAGCAGAAACGTGTACATTTTTTATTCGTTGCACAGTCACAGCAGAGGTCTGCACACGAAAACCACCATCCACAGAACTCGTGTCTTTACAGAGCATGGAGACTGGACGACCCTGTAGAAACACAACCAGAATGTGGATGGTCTTTGCAGCGTCTTGGCGAGGTCTTCAGGCAGATGAGGGTTAAAGGTTGTAAGAGCATGCACCAAACTTCTGTAATGAGATCTTGGTGCCAGCATGTATGTGGCTGGTCTCACCCCTACATGCAACCTGATTGTCCCCACTCTGCTGTCAAAGTTTCAGGTAAATATTTCAGCAGTCTCAGTGAAATGGCTGTCCAGTTGCTCTCACTGCCTCCAGTAAAACTGTGCCCCACAGTCACCACCCAGCTGCAAAGACCAATCCTTTCCAGACACCATAAATATCAGCCGTCCTTCATTTTCTGGATGCAAAGCAAGAAGCACGTTCTTGTGATCAGACCTGCTGGACGAGGAAAGGAAAAGGGTGGATGAGGTTGCGGTGCACAGAAACCCCCTTCATCTGCACCCTCTCATGCTGCAGAATGCTGTTTTTCTACCATATGTGGATCAAAACCAGTTCCACAGATGGTCATGGAAACAACCTGCTGCAGTTACTTGTGGCTGTAGCGTAGTTCTAACACGGTGTGATGTTCTTGTGCATCTCAGAGCCTTGACACAGTTTAAGTTAGCCATGCCAGGGTGCTACATCTGTAGAAATGTTCTGCTGGCACATGGAGTGTGCAGGAAAAACAATTAGGAGTAAAGTAGCAACGGCACAACTGTCTTCTCACTGAATGTTTTCCAAATTTGCTGCAATCCTGTCACGTTCTAAAAGGTCATGGAGAGCGTGGTGGGGTCAGCATCTGGTGTGAGGGAGGCCTCAGCAATAAAGCAAGCTCCACAGGGTTCATCTGTTTATGTGCTTGTAAAGTTTCTTCATGTTTCTATTGTGTGAAACTTGGCCATGATAAATTTGCCTCCGCCATCACAGTTCATCCTGACCTCCGGAACAGCAGAGTCATGCTCTGCCAAACAGTTTCATTAAACCCTGAACTGGTCAGATCTCGTGCACACAACCCTGTTCAGCTAAACGTTTCTCAGCGTGCAGCTTTGCTGAACCTAGCATCGTTCATTAAGTTAGGGTTTTTCAGTTTGGTCCTGTTTCAACGTGTGTGTATGGTTCAGTACTGTTGATTTGGATGTTTGATGTCTCGCATGCCTGTTACTGTATTCACTTAATATGACCAACGTAATCACATGAACTTCCTCCTTATTTAAGGAAGTGTAACTCTGTGATGAAACAATCGCAGCTAATGCGCCGTGGAGTCACGTGCTGAACCCCGTTCTGTTTGCATCGCACCTTTTTCCTTTTGTCAGTGTTCTCCTTGGCCCCTGTTGTTCCACCTGTTCTTTATGGTGCATGCATCTGTACTGGATGCTCCAAATGATCTGCGCTGTCTCACAGGAGACGAGAAGAGTCCTGCAGCGGATGAAGACCACCAGTGGCACTCACGCTCACAGGAGGACAACTGGAACCAGAATCACACCACCCCAGTCCCAATAGCAAACGGACACTATTTGGCTCTGGTTCCAGGCAACAGGAGACCCATTGACCTGACTTTAGCAGAGCATTTTGCCAAGTTTGCACCTCCTCCACCTTTGGTCAGGAGCAGCGGTGACGCCGGCGGAGAACCAAGGAGGCCGGAGCAGCACCAGGAAGAGCTGCGAGCCGTGCAGCACCGTCAGGAGCAGGAGAGGCAGAAGAGGCAGTGGCTGGAGGAGGAGCGGCTCCGGCTGGAGCAGCAGAAGCAGCTGGAGAAGCAGCGCAGGGAGCTCCTCCAGCTGCAGCTGCAGCAGCAGCAGCAGGAGCACCGCCATCGCCGGCAGGTCCTCCAGTGGCAGCTGGAGCTGGAGCACCAGTACCGCATGCAGCAGAAACAGATCCAGCAGCAGCAGCAGCTGAGGAGGAGCCCGACCGGAGTTATGCTGTCCCCGTCCTCCGGGCTCTGCACCATCTACGAAGCCATGGAAACCAGTGACGAGGAGGACGAGGCAGAGGAGGAGCCAAATAAGAACACTCGGGTGGGGGGTCAGAGGGGCCGAGCCTCCCAGGACTCTCGGCTGCTGCTTCGTCCTGTCCCTCCCCAGGAGCTGGAATGGAACAAGAAGGTGGACATGGTCCAGCAGCTCATCAACCAAACCTTGATGCTCTCTGGTGATGGGGGCTGTCCTCCACTCCTGCTCCTCCCTGTGGGGCCTGGAGGCTCCCTCAGCCCCCTGGAGAGCAGCATGTGGCCCAACCTGCCTCTCCAGTTCAGCACCCCTGCAGCTACGGTCATCTCTGTGAGCAGCTACTCCCCTGACAGCCAGGTCAGCTCTCCACCTGAAGACTGGACGGTGGTGGAGGTGGAGACTCAGCACTGAGCGTCAGAGCTGCAGGAGGAAACACCTGGACCGTTATCAGGTTTATGTTTAAATTTGTGCTGGAAATCAGATTAATGGTTCTCAAATCCAGTCATGGAAAAGAACGTACACCCTTTTTAACACATCCGTCTTTTACCAGGTTCTAAAATGATTCAAATCCGGACCAGGTGAAAACGAACCGCACGTTCCACCGTGTCGATTATTAAAACTCATGAAGCTCTGTAGTTCATGCTCTCTGTAGGATGTAGGAAGGAACGTTTCAGCCAGGAGCTGCTGGTTAACTCACCATCATCAGTGTAGTTTTATCACTTTGTTGGTCTGGAGCGTACATGCGCTTGTTAACACAACGCCAAGCAGGAAAGACATCAGCAATGACCTTAGCAGCTGTTACGGTTAAAGGTGGTTTCCAAACAACTCATTTATTCTACTGAGGGTTTATTCACAAGAGGAAAACATTTAAGACAGTTGCCATTCTTCCCAGGAATGGGCGTCCCGGCAAATTCACCCCAAGGTCAGACCATGCAACGCTTAGATAGATGACAAAGTTACTGACGGGACAAGTGGAAAAAGACTGAACTTGTGGATCTTGTTTGGAAGGTTTGACGAGAGAAAACCTGTTTTCCTTAAAACAGATCATGACACTTGGGTTTGTCAAGTTTCAGCTCAATAAGATGAGACCTAAGTACAGATGTTTACCCATAATGCACAGCGCCATGTTTGATGAAAACCTAACAGCACAAATACACTGTCGAGCATTGTGGAGGAATCATTGGACTTGTTTAGTAGCCACAGGACCTGGCACCTTTAGGCTCTTTCATAGATGGCTGCTCAGACCAGTCTGTCTTTACTCTCCTCTGGACATTCATACGTCCAGCACAGAGGAAACAAGCATGGCGTGGAGCAGAACTCCAACCCATTAAATGTGTGATAGACATTTTCCTCTTATCATTTTCTTAA